GTGCTGGCTCCTACCCTGGGGGTCTTTAAGAGGAGGCTAGATGTACACCTTGCTGGGGTTGTTTGACCCCAGTACTGTTTCCTGGCATGGCAGGGGGTCGGACTTGATGATCTGCTCAGGTCCCTTCTGCCCCTAGAAACTATGAAATCGCCCTACTAGGTGCTTTGTCTGTCTCCTTTGGTGGATTGCAGTTGTGCAGAGACAACAGCCCCTGCCAGGATAGTAGAGAACACTGGGGACTTCCAAAATGTTGTACCAACATGCTTTTAACTAGTGAGCTTGCTAAATCACATCTCTGTGAGGACTCGGGGTCCTCATACCTCGCAGTTTTACAGTAGAATGAGAACTAAACAGGGGGCAGGTCATGACTTTCGTAACATCCCCTCCACCAGGAGGAATAGACTCTGGAACCACTTTATTTACAGCAGCAATTCTAGCAGCAGCTGAACAGTACTAGGATCAGCCACCAGAGGACCATATATTTGGCATGTAACCCTGGAAGGCAGTAGCAGGGGGAGTAGGGGCTAGCAGGATACCAGCCCCAGGTGCTGACTTAAAGGTGATGCCAGTATGGTCCCCTTCATCCACGAGTTTTTACCATGGCAGGTGCAGCCGAGCCATAGGAGCTGGGCAGGCAAAGCCCCATGCCTGCTAGTGTATCTAAAGGAAGAGGAGAAATGGAAGAGGGGGAAGAATGAGGCCTCTCTCCAGGGAGGCTTTGCCATGGGAGTCACAGCCTTGCTCTCAAGGGAGAGTGAATAGGTCACCAGGAGCAGCCCCTGGGGAGTCCATGCCACTGCCTGTCCCTCAGCTGCAGCAGTTGCAGAAGCAGTAGTTGCCACCCAAGTGAGAGAGCCCCAGTAGGTAAGACTCCACTACCCTCTGCTCCCCTACTTCTTCAGTGGTCAGCATATTCCCTCCCTTCCCCTATCTTGGGCACTGAAAGAGCTTGCTATGCCTCTGCTGGAAGGCATAGCTCACCTTCCACATTACACCCTCCTTGCATCAGAAGAAACCCATCCCAAGCACCTGAAAGACATAGGGGTTCAAATTCTCTTGCACACAAGCCACCATCCGTCGGCTCTCCTTGGTCTTCTCCAAGGATAGAAGCTTAAATTTTTCAGCTCAAAGACATGAGCCTTCCCTACTTGAGCTAAAATCCATTTTCTTTTAGAAGCAGCAGTAGGGTCTTTGTTGTAACATGGACCACCCACTAGCAGGACACAGATTCACATCCACACATCAGACCAGTTGCCACATTTGGGATCAGGAAGCAATTTTACACCATGGTCAGATTGGCATGGACAGAGCGGGGGTTTGCCTTCCTCTTTAGTGGGGGGCATGGCCCGCTACCTGGAATCTCCTGAGTGTATATTAATAACCTTTTATAGCAGCGGGATGTTGACTGCCACGGTTCTCCTGCTTTACCTGCAGTTGGGTAGGGTGTAATGTCTTGTGTTGTGTCAGTGTTGATCATAATTTTACAATGAGTTTAGATTATGGATTTGTATAGGATGGTTTGGATAAGGATGATCCTGCCTCAGGCAGGGGGTTGAACTAAATGAGCTCTGGAGGTCACTTCCAGCCCTACATCTCAATGGTTCTATGAATGTAAGGTATCTGCAGTAATGTATGCTACCTGCAGGAAACACGCTGCTATCCAGTTAGCTAGGGGGATTTGACAGCAGAGGGCTTTGTTCTGGCCTGACTCGGACTCAACCAGGGCCATTTCGGCCCACAACTGGAAAAATGTTATCACCGCCTGAGTGAGACCTTTGTCAGTTTAGCTGCTGTCTTAAAGCTTGTGCTCCATCAAGTACTGTCATTATATCATGGAAATAGTAGATGCTGGAAGTCTAAAAGTAGAATTGGAAGTTAGACCGCAGTTTTGTAGTAGAGGGTGGGTGCTGGACATAGTGCAAACAGAGATGCATTTTTACTCTAAAAGCAAAGCACAGCTGCCGCTCAGTATGAAGGTAGAATCTCTGATTAAAACCTGTACATACTTGCAGTATAGTGGTTCTAGAAAGTCACTGTCCAAGCAGAGCAGCAAAGCCAAAGAGCTGTGGTAGAGCTGCAGCTGCTGTGAGAGGTGAATGTGGTGCCAACAGTGGTGTGGGTGACCCTTCTAATTTACTGAGCAGAGAAAATTAAAATGTGGGAATGAAATCTGGCCAGTCATCCCGATATCCTCGCCCAGCGGTGCTCTTTGTTGCCTCAGGCTGTGGGCGGGTTGTTGCAGTACCTGATTTCAAGTGGATTTTTCAGTCCCCAGCTCTCTCTTTTCTGTGACTTGCCTATGTTGCAGCTGAAAAGTGAAGCTGCTTTGGGGGTGCATTCACACTTGATCACCTGAGACTGGAGGAGGGGATGTGGTACATGATAAGGAATTTCCAACAGTCTTGCGCAATATAAGCCAAAGAATAGAGAAACCCATATAGCTTTTTCAAAGAGTAACTAACTACTTAGGGCTAAACCAGACTTCAAGATGGACCTATATTAGCTTGCATCTGAGAAAGATCTGGCTCCACTGTAGTGAATGCAAAGTCTAACAGTGGTCAGTCTACCTTCATGTTTGCTCTATTTTTATATCACAGTGGGCATGTCTACACAGGGGCTTTAATGCATATTAGCCTATTTTAATGTGCATTAAAGCATCACAAAAAGTTCTCTTTAGCTAAGGCACATTAAAATAGGATAATGTGCATTTTTCTAGTACCTCACAATGGAGGTACAAGATTTAATGTGCATTAGGTAAAGTACATTAATAAATGTGTAGATGCGCCCAGTAACTTTTAAATTCTGAACTGCAAATCAGTGGTTGTCCATACAGAAGAAAGAGAGGCCTTATGAGTGGACTCATTCCCATGGGAGATTCATGGATAGTTATTCTGTGACAAAGCATTGTGGGCTCCACTGGTTGTTGGCCTATAGGATCTAAATCCAGTGCATTCTGCTTAGAGGTAAAAGGATGGGGGTGGGGGGTTTCCCCCTAAATGGAAACTTCGGCTAGGATCTGAAAGTCAAGCAGGATTCCTTGTATCTTGTCTGTTTTCAGCAACAAGCACTCTGTCTGATGGCCAGACTGGACCTTGGGTGACCCCTGTGCAAGTCCATTGGCCACACAGATACAAATTATATGAATGGAATAGATGATTCTCATGGTGAAACACAAGAAGGAGTAGAACCCAGAACATTTTCTTACATTTGTGTTGGTCCTAAAGGGTAGACAGGAGTAAAAAGCAATAAAAGCTTATCTTAGTTGCCAAAGCAAGAAGATCTGTCTCTGCAGCAGAGGAAACAGATTTGCTGGGTAAGAGGCAAACTTTTTTTTTATCCTGCACCTTTCAGAAATAAACTATACTTTATAGAGGGGGAGTAGAGAGCTCAGGGTGATATTTGCTCTCTCTGATTTACCTTGTTGTAAGTGAGAGCAGGATTTGGCCCCCAAATCTGTAAATTTACAGTATACCAGTGCTGGGTACCAATTTACTTTAATTCTTCATTTTCACTTTGCCGCCTCTCCTGCATTTTTTGGTATTGTCTCAGATATACTGGGGAAGAGAGAATGCCTACATCCATCATCATTTAACTGCCCTGAAGATTACTTTGGGGCAGGAAATCATCATCATTTGTTCATAACACTGCATCAACATGTGCCTTCATTTTCTGTGATTATATTGCATTGTATTGTCTAAGGTGCAGGCTGGAATTGAAGGGTAACTCCATTATTTGGCTTTTATTTGTGAGGGCCCTGCTACACATTCAGATGAAAGCTAGATTGAAAACAGCTACAGAGTTGTTACACATTTTTAAGCACTAACTTTATAGCTGGCTGGCTTTTCTTATAGCTGGATAGTAATTTTTATCATGTAATAATTACTTTGCACGTATGACCGGTATACATTTATTGTGCAATTAACCAGTCGATTGTGTGTTAATTACCTTGTACTTGTGGCCAGTCTTTAATTTATTGCACAATTAACCAGTCAGTTGCATAATATATGTCATGTGTAGCAGGGGCCTAAGTGTAACAGCACTAGGCAAAGCCAGAAGAGATGCTTAGGCCAGGTCTCTACTATGAACATTTCTCAGCCTAGGTCTGTCAGGCAGGGCTGTGATCTCTGACTGACATCATTGTGATGGTAAAAACCCCTTGTGTAGATGCAGTCATAATGGAAAAAACTTTTGCTGCTACAGCTGATTTCACTGTGTGGGGCCAGGAATAAACAACACAGGCAAAACACACAATTTTGCTGGTAAAAGCTCTGTCAGCACTAGGAGTGTTTTACTGGTGTGCTGGTACGGTATAACTAGGTAGGCTGCTTAAATATTTGTAGGTAGACCTTCTAATGCTGCAGGCTCTGTTTGTTCATTATTCACTGGTTTTTATTTGGTTGGAAGAAGGACTAATGGAAATCTATTTGCATATAAATACCCAGACTGCTTTGTGAGGTACTAACAGCAAAGAGCTTCACCGAGGATGTCTCTAACCATCTCTTTCTCTCTCTCTCTCCCCATCCCTCTCCCTCTGTCTCTCTCCCTCTCTCTCTCTTTCTCTCTTTCGCTCTGTTTCTCCTGCAGGGCTTGTGAAGTTGGGGGTTCACTGTGTAACATGTCAAAAGGTCGCGATAAAAATTGTCAACAGAGAGAAGCTCAGCGAGTCGGTGCTAATGAAGGTAATTTTCTAATGGGAGATTCGGAGGGGAAAAAAAAAGTAAAGTTCTTGGCTCCGTGGCTCCTGTTCCATGCAAAATTAATATCTTTAATTATGTTTAACAAACATCCCTGTCAGTACTAAGACTGTGTTGTGCATAATAATAATAATTCAGGGGTGGGGGGGGAGGCTAGGGAGGCTGGAATTAAAGAGGAGTATGCCTGTGCTTTAATTAAGAGCAAATTAATGGCCAGTCTTAGAGCTGTTACTGCTATGCTATGGGAGATGGGTGTGCTAGGGTTATCAGATCCACCACGAGAGTGATGGTGCGTGATGCAGGCTGTGTGTGGAGATGGGCGCATTTGAATTTCATCATGAGGGCACTTTTGTGAGGATATAGATTTTGTTCTGCTGTATGGGTTCATCCTGATCTGATGCACCACATCCTCATCCAGCATAAACTGGTTCCATTCCATCGGTGTCAGCTGAACTGTTCTAGCCCAATTGCTCTTAATTCCCCCAGGAGGACTGACTTGAGGGTTTACATCCATACCATAAAGCCGGTCTTGGCTACTGAACAACATAAATGAACAAACTTCCTGTTGCATTTGCCTGATTTTTGTGAACAGTGAGGCCAGACCCAACACTGACATGAGCGAGCACACCTGGTTTAAGCTACCTGTGAATTTGGCCTATATCTGCACGTGCGGTTTGAGGGAACTTGCATAGGATCCGAAACAGCACTTGTCACTGGAGGCATTCTTTGTCTGAATGCTTGTGGATGACAGATACTGTATTTTCTCTTATACAACATGCCCCAGATTATAATGCACACCTTGTTTCTGAAAGGCAGAATGCAGAAAACACATCTTTCTGGGACCAGATGTAAAAGTGAAGATTAAAGGAACATACTGCTTTTTTAGGTGCCCAAATTTGGGATATATGTTTAAGCAAGGTTCTTTGGGTACATGTGATATCTTTTATTAGACCAACTGAGTAGTTGGAAAAAAGTCTTTTGTGAGCTTTCAGGCGCAATCGCCCTTCTTCAGGCATATTTTCAGTGTATATTTTTAAAGGGGGGGTTGCAGAACCTCTTGAAAAGGAAATATATTCAACTTCTGGTTTTTTGGAATCTCAATGAAATATTCTCCCTGTCCCCAGCCCCAACATTGTGACCTGAAATAACTCTTCACTAATGCATAAAGGCCAGGAAGTGAAAAGGGCTGACCACAGAACCATAATTTAGAGAGAAACTCCCTATTTTGTCCAAGATGAGTGAAATGCAAATAGTAAATAAGCTGCATAAATGGTGAAGTTTAAATGAGACCTTAAACACTTTGAATAGTCTCATTAGCAACACAATTAAGGAATTCATTTAACATTTGTATTGACTGTGAGATCCTTTTCATGCTTGGTATCTCGCATAAAAGATTTTATTTATCTCATTGATTTTCAGAGTAGGGGGCAGAGTAGAACCTTTCAAATTGCAAAACAATATTTCTTTGGACCTGATTCCCTGTTGCTCTGCCCACTTGTGTTGTAAAACTAGAAAATTGCAATTGTGCATTGGGCCCTTCTCTACAATGCGGAGTGCTGAAGAGTGCTATGTTTCCTTCAGGGTTCTTCTCTGAAGGAAACGGTGTATTGTACTGGGATTCCCTGCTATACTCCTTCAGACCAACTCTCCCCAGAGCTTTCTCGGACATGAGTTCTCCACTAGATGCTCAGTATATGGCAGCAGCATATGGAAGTGGAGAAGGTATCTTTTCTCTTCCATAACTACAGTTATTTCAGGATTGTCCCATGTCTGACAAAGAGAGGCAGGGCTTTGGGCCTTTTAAATGACCTTGGAGCAGACTGCCATATCAGCCTGCTTACTCCAGGCAGGCTGATGGGAAAAAAACTGAGGATTCAGTTGCTTCCAAGCTACTTTCTTGCCAGCTTTCAGCTTCAGAGTGCAGTTGCTGCCAGCCGGCCAGCTGAAAGCCCACAGGGCAGAGTTGGCAGCGTTAGGAAAGAAGCTGAGGGTAAAGCCGAACTGCGCACTGTGGTGGCATTTCCACCCTGCATATCTTCCCTCTGGTTTAGCTCTGATGACACCTCGGGTCTCTCTCCCATCGGACCAGCCATATCAGTCCTTGGATCAATGTGTGATAAATCCTTTCTCCCAAACCAGCTTTAATCTACCTCTGGATGGAAAAAGAAAAAAAAAAACCCTAGACATGAAAAACATTCACACCAACAGCAGGCAGATGCAGAAGTGCAGTAGAGTGGCCATTTCTTCTAGCATGAAGAAGCCTGTCCACAGGCCTTCCAGCATCTAAAATGACAAACATTGGCAGAGAGAGCAAGCTGCTCAGTCCTACAGAAGGTTGCCTCATCATTCTGTCTCTGCTTGCTTCTTACAGTCTTTGTTTCTCCAGTATTTTTGCAGCTAGCACTTTTATTTTGTACGTTCAGGGAACTTTCCCTTCTTTCTCTGCAGCTGCTCTTCAACTGAGCTGTGCAGAATTGAGAGGCATTTGGTAAAGTGCTTTCTAATCATAACGTAATACTATCAATATTTCTGGAGAGAATAATTCGGGATTGAAGCAGCTGGTCTCAATTAACAAAACTGCCGCTATGGAGATGATGCATGGGCAGAGATGGTGCAGCATGAAGCTGCAGTAAATGTATCATGTGCACTGCCCTATCAAAAAGGGACTGGCTTGTAGGTAGACTACTAAGCAGATGTGTATGGACGGTCCGTAGAGTGTGTACTTGGCTTTCCAGACTGTCGCGTTCTCCCACGTCATGAATAAATTTGAGAGCTGTGCTCCTTGAGTAATCCTGCCTGTGTCCTACGGGAAATATGGCTTTGGGGGGATAAAGCTATACATGGCCATAATTTCCAGTGCCAGAAAAAAAGGCAGATTCATAAAATTGTAGAAAAGTAGGGCTGGATTCTGACCTCACTCCACTTTCTCATAGTTTAATAAATTTGGGCTGCCTGTTTGGTAACATACCCTGTGAGCACTCTGGGCCTTATTCTCTACTATTGCACATCTGAAGAAACTTACTTGGGTTATGGAGCTTTTCTGCAGATGGGAATCTGCCTCATTAACTTTAGTGGATTTAATTCTGCTTTGCTGTTATGTAATTCAGAGGCAACCAGGCTGAGCATCCAATGTCCATAAATGGGTTTATACTAAATGCAAAAGGCCATTCAGATTTTCATCTGGTAGTTGAGGTTTTCAAAGACTATGGCATTTTCAAAGACTATGGTATGAGATTTTCAGACTAGGGCATTTAGCCTCATATCCCCTCATGAAATTAATGGGTGGCTAAATCCCCTAGTCAGTTTAAAATCTCGACCCCTGTATTGTATGTTAAATATATATCCTCTAGAGAGGGATTATTCAGAGTTGCTAATTCACTGACCTGGAAATGCTGTGGGCCTTTCAAATCTGTAAAAGGCCTTATGTGCTCTGTAATGAGGATTCTGGATTGTGCAGAACTCTGCATGATGGACAGACCAGAAAATATGCAGCAATGGCATTTTAAGTTTTAAAAAGGGGGGTTATAAATAATTAAACATGAAAATGAATCATACAGTCAATATGTAGCCCCTCTGTTATTTATTATGATATTACAATCTGTTTAATTTATGCTAATCGCACATTTGAAGGGGAGCTTTTTTGTCACTGTAATGCATTCTATCACCTGTTCCTATATGTTTCAAATCTGTTGTCAGGTTAAAGTTTAAGTCTTTAGCAAATGGATAAGAAGGCATTGCTGCCTTTTGGCATGCAGGGAGACGTGTGAGTGGTGCTGGGGACTGTGAAGTAAGCAAATTAGCACGATAGTTTTACAGTATATTAGTTGATGTTGACAAGAAAGTTTGTTTTGCTTTCAGTTACTACCATCTTTGAGATGAAGACAGTGCGGTCACACCTCTCAGGGCTAACGTTTCACTCTTTCTACGGACTCATGAGTTTAAACTTCATTAACATGTCCAAGATTTTCTGCCTGACCATAAAGTCTAGACGCATCATTATATTCTCTTTTTAAAGTAAGTTTCGATTCTGCTACCCAGAGGTAGATTCAGTGGTAAATGGTGCAGTCGTGGTATCACAGAATGCACACATCCCTGAATACCATAACAGGTACTGGTGGGGTTATTGTGAAATGACCAAGTAGCTGATTGTCTAAATCAAGGGCTGGCCACCATTTTGGAGCAGTGAGCCACCGTAACTTAGTTTAGCCCGAGGTGGGCTGGTGCTTCTGACCTGGCTTCTGGTGCCATGGCCACTTTTTCCTGGTGCCAAATTGCCACCAACCTTGCCCCAACAGTGCTGATAGCTGAACTTTGCAGATCTAATGAAATCACTCAGCAGGCTTGACCCAGCCCTTGAAACATAGATTGCTGGCCTGCGATCTAAATGCCAGTGTTAAGTCACTGCCATAGGCCAGTGAATGCTGCCATCAGTGCTGCTGTTCCAAAGCTCAAGTTCAGACTTTATGTATCTCCCCAGGGGAAAAAGATGTGTAACAAGGCCCACAGTACCTGATTTTTTTTTTTTATAATGCCTCTTTTCTGACATAATTTATTCCTATTTTAAGATCCCTTTACACTGTCACAAGGGCCTTAGTGCAACTGAGAATTCAGGCCACAATATTGCTCCTTGGGTAATAGAATATAAAAGGAAACAATTCTGCTCTGGTCAGTGATAGTTAAATTACCACTCAGACCACTCTTACTGAGGGCGAAGTTACAGGTTACAATTAGACTGTACTAAATCTGTGGAATCGTAAGCAGTATTAAAATTAGAGCATGCTGAGTGCATCTACAGGTGCATATTAATACGACGCAATAAACTCCGGTGCACCACGTGTGCCCTCGACCATAGCGCACTGAGCCAGGCTGGAGCAGTCCTGGCTGGCACGGGGCTCAGGAGGTCAGCCTGTCAGCCCAGGGCAGCTCCCCACTGGCTCAACATGCTTCAGAGCAGATGGCTGGGGCACAAGGGTACTCCAGTGCAG